AAAAATTATTATACTGTGTTGTCAATATCATCCAAACAAAACTTGCTTTTTTGAAACTCTGCCAAATGAAATTCAATGAACCGAGTCTTTCCTACTGAACCGTGCGACCTTCTGTTTCTCGTCGTCAGCTTTTCCCCAGAGCTTAATAAGGGCTTCGAGGATTTCTCGTGTGTGACTTTCGAGCAGCTGGGCACCATCACACTGGAGCATATGCCCCAAAAAATTGACCCAAGTAAGCACTTGCGTCGGGTTGGCTCTGAACGGCTCGTTCTGACGGCAGATGTCAATCGGTTTAATCTAAATTGGTTTCAACTCGGGACACGAAACGGCCACGGATTTGGTAAAAGCGTCAATTAATGACCGTGACATTTTCCCACATCCGTTATCACCTCGGGGGAGTTTTTTTTACTATTGATCCTTCGCCCCTTCTAGATAAGTCGTTATCTTTTCGCCTTCAAGATTAAAGTAGGACAAAAAAATAGTCTATCCCGCTTGCCGTCTTTACAACCCTTATTCCGTTTAAAGAATAGTAAAAATGGTAGAAATATGTAATAGTAATAAAAAGTAAGATGGAGTTCTTGGATTCTTAACACTATACTCGTGAAGGTGTATTGTGTAACTCGCTTTATTCACTTCCTGCTGAATGCGTGAGTTTACATAAGGATTGCCGGCCCTATGCGTAAGTGGGCTTTCTCCCGTACTTTCTTCCACACTTTCTCCAAACTCACACGTCTTATTCTTGAAATTTCGTCTTGCGCTTAAATCAGCAAAAAAACCTGAACGATTCTGTCATTTTTACGAACCCGCATTGTCACGGTCAAGGAAAATAAAGCTGAGACGTAAATATCACAAAACGTCGACTAAAATGTTAATAACCTGGATGTACCTTTTTACAGCTTGCAAAAATCATCTCATAAACCACTTGGAGTACGAAAGTTGCATAGTTATGCATGCACGCTTTTGGCGTAGAAATTACGAAAACATTAAGATCTAGAGAGCAAGTTTCTTTTAATGTTGCAAGCACAGACCTTTAGTATAGTAGTATATACATACAACATATTAGACCATAAAATAAGACCATAGGGTTTTTTTTTGGTTGTAAATTAAATGAAAATTTCAGGGACTCGAAAACTTATTTAATTAACAGTATACGAACAATTTTGTTTCACTACATGACTTATTCTATGTAATTTTATAACAACCTCCTTCCAGAACTTCTGAAGTTTTTGCGCGATGAGTTTTCTGTAGTCCTCAAGCAACTGGAGAATTTTGGAAATTTTTAACATGACTCGTTGCGTTTTCTTCAGAATATTGAAATCTCTTTGAATATTTTTGGAAAAGTTCGACTTTTATTCACAGTTACCAACATTTATAAAAATTCGTCGTTTATATTACATTTAAGAGGGATGGAGATACGGTTCAATAAATCTGTAAATACATGAGAAACTCGTATAATCATCCGGACAAATACATCCAGCTTCTCTTATAAGCGATGAAATATTTTTGTGGGATATGTTAAGTGCGAAATCTCACGTTGTTGAACGTAGGTTATTTTAATAAAATTTAACAAATAAAAATGGATTAAATAATCCATTTTTAGAGTTTACAAGCAATAAAGACTAAATCAACAATGTGTAAAACACAAGAGGGATAATTATGGAAAAACTCCACGGACTTATTTCATAAGCCAGCTACAAAAATTAAGATTGAAAAATAGGCATATTTATTTTTCTGTATGTTGGTGTACTATATGTTGATAACCTGATCATAACCATCACATAGATTTACGATACTCTTACTATTTGTTTTTAGACTTGTACAATTTAATACCGAAAATGTTATTCAACAGTAGTAAAAGAAATCTTAGAAAGTTTTTGTTGAAGGATCGAACGTTAGTTGGTCCTGAACACCAGAATTTCGGTCGTTTATTGAAAGCGATTATATTTTACCTCGATGCTGTTATGTTTGTTTTATTCTATACGCAGTTTGGAATAATTTGTCCATTAAAATTATTTTATTTCATATTGCGTTCTTATTTTGTGTGTGAAGTCTTTAAAATAAACTGAGAAGCAACTTAAGCCTCATTTTCATATAGCTTTCCATACTAAGAAAACAGGTTTTTACGTCATGGTGAACTAATAAATACATTTTATTAATATTGTTTTAAAAATAACAAATTGTATTTTATAACGCACAAATAAGTGAAATTTATGTTGGATGATTTAAAATAAATAAATCTTAAATGATTAGGCAAAAACATTAGGTTATTCATTGTCTTAATACTGCACTTTTTTCAACAAAAAATAAGCGTAATCAAATAAATTCCCATTTCTGATTCAAACAGTCCGATAATATAATGTAAGCTTTGTTACTGTTGAAACATCTCTTTGACAGATTTATTAATCTTTTTTTTATTTATATAATTTGTTGTACATTACAACTACCTTAAAGTAGGTAATAAGTAACAGTGAGAAAGGGAATTTAAAACAAAACAAAAATAAAACGAAGAGTGGAGAAAACACCCATTGGTATTACTCCAATGTTACAATAATATTGTTTGTTCAATTGATACGTGTGTCATTATCACTTTCACTGTCATCATCATCATCACTTCCTAGGAGATCTCGCGGCCATTTATTAATCAAGATCAAAATTTAGAAATGCAAGAAATAATGGACGGTTAGAAAAAAAATTAAATCCAGATTGGTGTGAAAAAATCCTGCAGGTTCAGAAATTTATCTACCGACATAAACGGCTTGTAGGGGAGGTAAACCCCCAAAAAATTCTCACGTCTGGAATTGTAAATATTTTTACCCTTTTTGCGTTATGTAATTTAAAATATACAGGTGGTTAGTAAATAAGGTTTTTTTCATTGAGAAGTGGCTTTAAATAAAAATAAAGAAAAACATGATTATGTGATGTAATTTTGAGAACGATTTTATTTGTTCCATGAAGTAAATTGCAAGGGGAGAAAATTGTTATCCTTAAAAGCAGTAAACAAACGCCATTCTATCTATTTAAAATTTAATTATAATCCTTCGAAGTTGATGTTGTTATAGGTTTGTTTTGTTTATTTTTATTTCCTCTCACATCAAATTATTTCAGTAATTTCTGTAAACAACACCTCGAAAATGGGTACTTTTTTTAAATTTGGAATTTAATGATATCAGTCATGTGACGATCGGTGTATGATAATCAAAGCAAATTAACTATAGCCGGGTATATCATTAAGTCAGGTTCCTCCGGCAACGCTTCCAGCAGAATGATTGATTTATCAATATTAAGAACTGGAGGTTGATTTTGAGAAATGTCCTATTCGTTTGTCCAAATCAATTGCTTTCAAATAAATCATTAATGGAGAATCTCCTTTTATTCAAGTCTTATTATTTTTGCAAGGCCCAAATTTGATGGCTTGTCCTTTTTTATTATTAAAGATTTATAGTGCAGTTTAAATAAGTAATTTTAATTTATATCTTCTGCCTAGTAACACACTTAGAATATGTATTTCCTAGTACTAATATACATATTTTTTAAATTACCATCTGCAATTTCAAAAAACATGTAATTACAATACTAATAATATATTATAGTTATTTATATAGTTTATTTATATTGAATGTAGTAAATTGAATGTAATTCTCTCATTTCACATCACTTCACTAGTTAACAAGTTTTATTATTTATTTTATTTTATTATTCCTCAGAAAGAAGGTCGCTTGGCCATTTACGCTTGAGTCCACTTCTATGATTTTAGGGATGGGTTCTGTTGTACAAGGCTTAAAAACAAACTATTGACGCAATGGGATAGGTTATGAGCTGAGTACACTTTTGAGGAATCAATTTTTAGATAAATAGATTTATAAAATCGTCGTGGCGGTTAGTATTGGAGACATAATACGATGTTTTTATAATTGATCTGAGGGCTTTAGATTGAAAATATTGCAGACGTTAGATTTTGGAAGGTTTGGCAGTTCCCCACAGTACTGTTGCGTTTTGTAGCTCTAAGTTGGCTTTTTGTCGTTAGCTTACATTTATGATAAAGAAAATGAACAAAACTCATTCATAAAACTTTAGTACAACTGTGAAAATTCCGTTTCCGTAAATCCTTTGATTAGGCTTTCCATTCAAATTCGTATTTTAGCCTTTAACGCTTCCCAATTATTCACATTAATAAAACGTTTATCTTGAAATTAATACTAAACTAGTTAAAACTTTTCCGCGTTTAATATATTAAAGCCTGAAAGGCTACATTTTTATCCCATAGATGGGTCTAGTGGCCTTTAGAAGGGAAAAAGACATTCTAATAGAAAGGCTATCAGAAGATCTGGATATGAAAACGGGTCTGTGTCCTGCCTGATCTTTTTTTCATTCTTTAAATTTTGTTTTCTGTTGTCTATCAGTGTGCGATATATTGCAGCCATATATCCAAGCAAACCATCCCACTTGATCCCAGACAAAATAAATTTAAATGCTAGCAAATTTGTATGAAGTTATCGAAACTTGATCCTTAAGTTTGTTAAATGTTGTAATGTCTCAGAAATAAACGTGACCTCTTTATAAAATCGGCAGTTTATAGAAGTTATGAAACATGTTCACAAATTTCGACGGTTAACTTTGACTCTTAGTGACTCAATTCATGAATATTCCATTAGTTTTTAGCATTATCATGGTAGCTTCTCGTCATTAACACATACGGGCCAGTAACAATAATTCTAACATTGCTATCTACCTTTTAACGGAAAGGCGTAAGAATTCTTAAAATAGAAATCCACCTTCAAACTGGACGCTGGTATACCTATCAAAAAACATGACTCAAGATATATCACTATGCAATGTAAAAAATAACAGAAATTTAGGTATTTTAATAATTAAAGTAATGATACGCTCTCCGGAAAAATAAAGTTGTCAAAGAAGTCTGAAATTTTTTTTAAAAATTATATTACTTAATATGCATATGAAAATATGAAATTATAAGAAATAATAAGACATTAATTTTGCAGGGTGATGAACCTGTGGTGAATCTGAAAAAGGCGTAGTAAAACATCATGTTGACAGGGATATAAGCAGGGTGAGGCATGACGGAAATACTATGAAAATTGAATTGTAATAACAGGTTGGACATGGAAATAGCAGGAATAGACGGACCCATGAGACAGCTGGTGAGGGATGGTTAGGAGACACTCTAGTCCTAACTGTCCCTCCCTCCAAACAGCTATTAGCATCTTACCCATGTATTTATAGCATTTTATTTTGTAATTAAATTTAAATTATGCCCTAAATAATTTTGTAGAGATTACAGTTTCTGGTTTACCTATTTAATCGGCTTCAGACACAAAGAAACTACATCAAAAGAGTTAAACGTTTAGGTTGAAAAATACTCCGGAGAAGATTGACAAACGAAACAGCAGGTTTTTTAATTTCTCACAAGTTTTTTTAAACTTAATATAAAATTTTTATTTTTATCATCAACCATGCCACATTCGCTTCCAGCGTAAACTCCTTAGTATGGCCGTCAATAGGCGAGTTGCACTGTGAACATGACGTGAAGACAAACAAGTAAGCAGCAATTTTACTTTGACTTGATAGCCGTTATGCAATGTTTAAATGACTTGAGTTTTTTTATCAGACATGGGTTCACAAGATTCCAAAATCCACAACTCATGCGTCCTCTTTGGTTAAAGTCTGCACAAAAGTGGGATAATCCTGGTTAATTTGGCATCATCCCAAGTGTTCATTCAAGGACACGTTTAAGCTTTTTTTACTTTGAGCATTTTGTATCGGTTATCTTTGACTTTGCCAAAAGAAAAAAAAAATTCTGGCCAAGCTTGCATCTCTAAGCAAAATTCATTTTAGTATGTGTAAACGTAAAAAAAAATTGTTCTCCTGTATCTCTCTTTTAATAATTAAGCAGCAAAAATATACTCTATTCGATTCCATTTGTTAAAAAATGGCTTTTTAACGTGTATTTAATTATTTTATTTATGGATATTGGTACAAAAATATACAGCAAATAGAGTAGTTATATACAATAAAAAAATTTAAAAGAATTATTGTTTGTTCTGAATAAATGCCAAATGAGACAATATCTGACACTATTTATTACAGCTTAATGCAGTAACAATTTGAACATTTAAATTTCTGCGGAACCACGATTTTTATTTTTTATGTTACTGATAAGTATTTTTTACATCGAGTGCAACATTATAATATGAACTAGAGTTTGGTTAGAACAACATTTCGGATTAGTATTTTAGATGGTATCTAGACCCCAATTTTAAAGTATGATATTTTAGAAATTTTGTTAAGGGACAATCTACTTCAAAGTTTAATATTCGTTTATTTATATATATAGTTTAAAGTTAATGATTTCTATTTTTTAACAGAGATAGGACAGAAAATATCTTGTTACTTTCGATCTAATGGACAATTATAAACGCATGACATAAAGTATTAGTACATCTAATCGTTAAAAACTAGACTGTCGAGATTGAGTAAACGTGTTGAAGATGATGGACTGACTAGATGAGGAAGAGTTGCTCAACTCAGGCGAAGAAAGCTTACTCCGTTCTCCGGTGTCGAAAGGAAATTTCCCATTCGCATTTTCAAATAGCTGTTGTCTAGTAAAATTTCCAAATGAAAGAATACATCGCTTTCTCTCGACTTGAGAATATTTTATACCTTGTAAAAACACCATATGCTTACGTTCATTATGGTTTCTTTAAATTGAATTTGAACTGGACGATGCCAAAAATAAATTACTTCCTGATATCAGTTTGATACAGTGTCTTTCGATTGAAGTCTTAAATTAGGCACCCCGGGCCGTCTTGCTTTCCAACAGTTTTATATAAAAGATGATGACTCAACAGCAGGAAATTTTGGGCCGGTTAATTTATTATAACGATGAAAGAAGAAAGTGTCTTCTTTGCTCTCACTCGGTCCAACCTTGACGCGCCGTGGCACCAGTTTCCCTTTCAGTTGAAGCGAAAGTAGTACTTTCTACCCCACCTTTCCATAGAACCCCTTGACGAGACATTTTTCCACCGGTAAAGTTCACACCGGCTGGAGAATTCGTGGCCAAGGAGTTGATTTCCTCGCCGGCCTGGAACTTCCCAATTCGAAAGCCATGCCCTGGGGCTACCAGGTTGGAAGGCGATCGGTCAGAGTCGTTCCTAATGTGCACGTTCTTCGGTAACGAACTCATTATTCTACAAATTTAGATTTACGGATTAAACATTGAACCAATTCAACTCCCGTTTCTGTTACCACAACACAACAACATTGATATTTGTTCTGTTCGACATTTATTTAGCCGATTAGTTGCAGTTTTACTAGTTGTTAAAATGTTCTTTTCACACACAACATTATTTTTAAAATTGTAATAACCCAATCTCATTAAATAACACAAGAACACGCGCGCGCGCGCACTCACACACACCACACATATTAACTATATAACTTGATTTGTATACATTTATGTTTTCATATATTAATACGTTAATATCAAATTATCGCGGTTTTTAACGTTTATAATTTATCTAAAAAAGTTTTAAAAAATGTAAATTGCTAAGGAAAGTGGAAAAATGACAGACAGATAAAAGTTGTTTTAATTAGATAATTAGATTTAATTAACATTTCAATATCTTGTATTTCCTCCTCTTGACTAAATTACATCTCGAAGACGCCTCGTCATACTTTCTACCAGTCTGGAAATGTCTCTTTGCTGGAGGTTAGCCCATTCTTCAGGAAGAGTCTTTTCAAGATCGTGGAGTGAATCAGGAAGTGATGGACGTCTTTCGAGGTGAGGACGAAGGTTCGATGGGGTTCAAGTCTAAGAACGCGCTGGCCAGGCTAAGACCCCGATGTTATGCTGTTGAAAGTATGTTTGTACTATGAGAACGACATGTGGACTATGTCATCCTATGCTTATGTTTCCCTAGGGCGTCCTGAACCGCGCCTTCTATGGTAGGACCCAGATTCTCGAAAACATCTAACCACGTCTCGCACAGTTTCCTAGGATACACCGATGGCAATAGCCGCATATCTGATCGAACGTCATCATCAATAAGTTCCACACCACACGCAACATCCTCAGCACTAAGTGGCATTTTCAAGTTTAAAAATTGAAATTAAGAAAACAAGATGAATACTAAACAAGTTTATTGCTTCAGAATTCAAATGAGACTGAATAAACATTTTAAATTCATTAAAAAATAAACATTGAAAAATCCATTATCCTTGTTTTGGATTAAAGATTAGGTGTGTTTACCTCTAATTAATATTCCCATGTATATAAATNATTTTTATAACATAACTATAAAATATTTATTATTAAAAACAACAAATTAATGGCAGAACATTAAAATACCTTATACAACTTAATTTATGCTTAATAGTCAATTTTGATTTACTAATTGATGAGTAAGATGGATAAACTCAAATTCTATTACTTTTAATGTAGTCAAATTATACAAGAAAATTTTATAGCACTGTATTTCTTTCATGTTTCATTTTGTTACATTAAAAATTAAATGTTGTAGAAAAGTTCAGGTAAATGGTCATTTTTTAACATTTAGAAACTAATTGATGTTCTTCATTTCAACTCCATTAAAAGTTTAATAATTAACCGTTTCCTTACTAAGAGGGGAGATGGCATCGTGAAATCACACCTTTTCGAAGTTTTCGCGGTTGCTTTTTTAAACTGCTCATGATTCACGAATCATATAACTATTCAACCCATTTTGTTCTTGTCATAAAGGAATTGCAATCCGAATAAAGTAAAATATTATAACTTTTATTGATATCATTTCTATCATTATTCTTTCTAGGAAAAATGCAGATATAAACTTATGAAATGCTTTGCACATTTCTTCAGGTATAATTTTTTCGAAAGATTTTCAATTAACTTAACTTTTTGTGAGTTTTAAAACGTATGTTTAAAGCATGTATTTTTCTGTTTTGTTTATAGCAAAACATTGTTTTGTTTCTGTTTTTACAATAGTTACGTAATTTTTGACTGCTTGTGAAATAAAGGGTCTGTAGGTTTAAATACATAAATAAGTTGCATACAGATTGCAAGAACAAAGTTCTGTTTAATCACTCACAATTAAACCTAACTGACTAATCATCATTTGTTTCACAGTACGAAATAAAGCTAGATATTTATGAGATCCAATAGTTGATTTGTGTAACGGACATTTGAAAAAAAAATTTCTGACATTTTTACTTAGAATAAATATATAAATACGACAAAAAAAGTTGATTTGCTGTTCAGTAATGCTACAAAATATGTTTAAAGTTATGTAGTTGTTTAGTTCACTAAAAAAATATTCCTAGAAATCGAAAAACGCATTTTTGGAGAGTCCTTTTCCTGAGAAAGCACCTTTTCGTCGTCAGATCGGACTTTTATGTCTGTTAATTCGAAGAGGGATATGTTACAATTTCTAGTGCTTTGTTTAGGTTTTTACGGTTTATATTAGAGATTTTCCGTCAGTCACAATCCTCACATCGTACTTCGTGTTCCGTCTAGCTCCTTGCAAAGTTAAAACCAACTAATTAAAATGTGTAGTAATTATTTTAGATTTGTTTTGATGTCATGCGTTTAGATTTTATAGATTTTATATATTTGCCCAGAGCAGGGATTCGTAGAACCACCACAAATATAACAAACACGTGGGCATTACAATTTTCGGACTAATTAATTACTTCTCTGGTGTTTAAATACACCAAGGTCGAGCCAAGATACGAATTCCACCCTCAAAAAACCTTGGAAAGTCGGTCATAACATAATATATTCCTCTAAGGGATAGGTACAAAAGAGGCGACCAGAGACAAGGCTTCTGCACTTCGACCTGAGTAGACCTATTGGGCTCCTCAATTTTTCTTACTTACTAGCAGCTTCAGGTATTTAATCAACCTCCATAGCCTTTGCTAGTGGTTCCTTAGTTTAGTCTTGAGCGCGGCTTTTTCTCCTAGTAACTTAAAACGTTTCTGTGGTCTCCACTTTTTCCTGGCGATATCTACACAGTGTTTCTTCTGTCTGTACTCCATTCCGTTGTATGTGCCTTCTTAGGCGGCTGTGTCCAAGCAGAATCCTGGTTCCATTCGGTTACCGTCTAGTAATTCCTTTGTAAATCTTGCGGATGGCCTTTCTCTTTTCCTGCCGCATGCCTGGGGTATTGTTCCACCAGGGTTTGGATTCGTTAAGGATCCCTCGGTGTCCTTTTTTTATGGCAAGATGCTAGGCCACAATAGGGTTCGGGCCAGAAAATTCATATTGGCTCGTTTTTGGGCAACATGTCCACTTTCTCATTGCTCTTGTCCCGAATGTCCAGGGACCCATGCCAGTGTCAATTCATTGGTGTCACTAACTTCTGCCAGGGCTTCTATACACTTCCTTACGCTTTTTGCCTTTATTACACAGGAGGGTAGGGCCTATTAAGTGCCTCCTGACTCTCAGAGAAAATGGCTATCTTCCTGGAATGTATTCCTAGCATTTTTATTTCTCTGGCGATATGTTCAATCGCTGAAAACTGTAGCGTATTTACATAAGTGTAAAGAAGGTAAAGTCTTCGAATTAATCCAGAGAACTCCAACTCTCGAGATTTTATCAGTTTTTGAGCTTTGGAAATACCAAACGCTGTGGAATTGGCCTTCAGAGGTGTTCCTTTGGCCTATATATTTTCGTCCGTTGAGCAAATTTCGTTCTTTCTCAAAAATGAACCTCAAAATTGTCTTTAGTTTGTCAACCATGCCCTTTGATCAGCATCACCGTATTTAGCGTTCTGTGTAATAATAATCGTAAACATATAACAATTTTTCTATTGTTACGGACAGACTTATTATTCCATATTTCTTGTACGACCCTATGAGAACTTCTCTTAGAGTACTTTACAGCATTTTGAAGAACAAGTTATTTGCTTATCTATTCATATTAAAGGCCAAAGCATGAATGTTTTTACATAATAAATGATAACCCAGTTTTAAATTCAATAATTAAAAATAAAATTGTAAGATGAAATTTTGTATGGAATGTTCGATTTTTGCTCTTAATTCTCTTAAATTTACAATCATGAATTGAAATTTGTATTTGTTTTAGATGTTGCTTCTTAGCGTTGTCCACAATCTTTGTTTAGTTTTAAATGACGTCGCTGTAATTTTAATTGTTTCTTGCAGCTCCCTGTTTATGAAACACTGTAATAACAGACATCCCCTATTGTTTTAGGACTTTGCTGATTCTGTAATGGTGTAGATATACTGTTCTACACGGCTCCGATATTAATTTTGCTTAATAATTCCATTGAAATGATAATGATAGTAGTTAATAAAGCAGTACAGGTTTTACTTGATCACAAATTATTGAATCTTGTTCCAAACTTATATTTTTGTTTCGATTACGTTAATTTGCTCCAAACGTTGTTAATTGCCGTATAAACGAGTTGCACAATATCAATTAATTTCGGCGTGAAGAGAAACGCAAAATTTGGAGAAGCAATTGTGTGTATTTTTGTTACTTCTCAAAAATAGTTCTCGCTTCTCACATCTCGTTCAAGCCCAATGAGAACTTCGTGGGGCGATGCTGTATAGTTCTTTTCCAGAACGACACTGCCAATATAGGAAGACTCAAAATTTCAAAACACGAGATGACTTTAAAAAAATCACGCTAGGACTTTTCTAAAAATTATATAAAAGTTAAAACCTCAAACGATTTGTGTATCTACGTGTAATATTAACCATATACCAATACTATTAGTATATCTTTCATCTAAAAAAATAATAATTCTATAATGATAAATTGTGTCCTCGATGCTGTTAAAAGTACAAGCTTAGGAATAACTTAAATTGTTTATCAAATTTAACAGCCCGTGCTTTGACGACTTGGCCATCAGAGCGTAAAGGAAATAAGGTTGAATGAGAATTTATTCTACCGGGACACTAAACCAAGAGGAACTGGTGGATGTTTAACCGTCGTTCGTTTTCACTGATGGGACATTTTTCAAAAGCAGGGTTTACAATTAGGGTAAATCAATTCTTCTTTGAAACAAAAAAAGAACAAATAGTAAACGAACAGTTATCAATATTTTATAATTGAGTGAGGAAACCTTCAAGGGAGAAAAAAATCAAAGGATTCATCTGATAAGATGGAGAGAAATGAGAAGGGAGAACTATTTCTGAGAAGTTTACGCAATCACTTCTCTGTATTTTGATTTTCTCTTCACGCCGAAACTAATTGATATTATGAAACTCCTTTATACGACAATTAACAACATTTAGAGCAAATTAACCTAATCGAAACAAAAATGTAAGTTTGGGACAAGATTAAATAATTTGTGATCAAGTACACCTTATTGCTTTTATTAACTGCTATCATTATCATTTAAATGGAATTATTAAACAAAATTAATATTGAAGCCGTGT